CTCCAAAAGTTGATCATACGTATCATATGCACCACATATTGTAGATATATAATAGCGCGGTAGGATATTTTAGATTTATATAACTGAAAAACATTGTGTGTATATATATATCATATCATTATATCAATTTGATTTGGTTTGATCTAACTCTTGGAACATCGGCTGGTTTGGACTCCGACACGCCACCAAACGCCCGCCCCGACCGCTGAAAACGTCACCATCGACACCCACACGACCTTCAGCACTTCCGCGAAGCGTCTGGAAAGCTTCTCAGCGACGGTCCTGTGAAGAGAGAGAACGACATCAGCGGACAGGACAGCGGCCGGTCTGAACTGACCCGAACTGACCGGAACGGATAAGAGAGAGGACAGGACATCGGACAGACAGAGTAACCAAGGAGAATGGTTTGACCAAGGTTTGTTTGAGAATGGTTTGGCCAACAGTAGGGGAGACCCATGCCACAGTCTTTGGTGGCAGCTTCTGAACTTCTAGCTCCCAACAGCACAACTAATAATAAACATCTGTTTGTTTGAATCTGGGATTAAGCGTCCCGCTGCAACTCCAGTAGTTAATCCTTTAAAGGATCCTTTAGGGGTGCAAAAGTAAATGCAAAACTTGGAGGCCAAAAGGTCTTCAAAGTTCATCGGATGAAGTGAGGCTAGTTGCTGAAGATTGGCATGCCTCCCAGGTGGTCTTCTCTCTCCACCCAAGTTCTCCTCATCTTGCTGGCACCAGCAGCATCGGCCAGGCATAAGCAGCTCTCGCTATCCTCCAAAAAGAACCAGGTAAGCTGTTTGCACACATGAATCCAGGCATGTAGTGGGCACCAGCAGTTCCAGTTCCAAAGACCGAGCTTCTAGAATTTACAATGATTCCAATGATTCCCCTTTAGATGCAACTATAACTGGGATGCACTGGGATACATTGGAGTCTTTCCCCCAAGGCAAATACAAGAAAATGATCAAGCCTTGCTATACGTTTGCACTGTTCCAAAGGGTGATTCGTGAAATGATCGCCGGAGTTCAGAATGCGTAGGGATCATGTGATGGCAGGATACGGGGGGAGCACCAGTCAAGCACCCTTGTTGCGACTCGGGGACCGAGAAAGTCATGGAAAATCCAAGTGGCAGTCTCTTTTAGATTGGGCAGCTGAGAGCCCAGTACAATCATGTGGGGACAGTCAAAACCTGAAGCCCTGCTCCACCATGTAGCTTGCTTGACCTCATAGGTAGGTCAACCAAAGCATCCTGGTGTTGACCCTCAATCACATGAATAGCTGTGATCTAGCAACGGAACTCGGCACCGGCTGACCCAGTACCTTTCTCATCCGGCTGAAAGACCGTGTCACCGTCGCATGTTTCTTTTGAGATCAATCGCTGAGAGGCGGTTGATGTTCTAAGCGAAACAAATACACCCAAGTTGCTCAGAACGACGATTGACTGATGATTCCATGATGCGCTTCTTCTAAGATTTCTATGGAGAGGGTGGGGCATATAGAACTTGATCAAAATCCTCACCTGTGTGGAGTGCATGGGCTTGGGATTGATTGATGCTTGTGGGAGAAAATGGGGGTTCAGGCCAAAATCAGGGCAGTCCAGTCAAGATTGAGTTTGAGATTCTATGAGGTTGTCCCGGGCTGTGAGTCCGATCGATATGCAAATTATTGTTGTTTGCTCGTGTCCTGCTCGCCTAAGTCTGCCACAATTCAATAAAAACTAAAGTCTTGCCTTGTCGTTCAAAACCCATGGGCAGTTCATCATCTCGGACTATGTCCCAAATCCTATCCACAACAGGAGTACAATTCGGAACATTCGGCTGATTTCAGGCCCAACCCCTCAACTACCTACTCAGAGGTTATCATCAACAAGTGTCCCACTCCATCAAGCTGGTCAGAAGAGGAAACGGCTGCAAAACTTGTCCTGATGCCAAGCTGCTGTTCACACCCAGCTGCATCTATATAACTGGGGTAAAACCAGTACCAGGGCACTTAGGTTGCAGGCCTTATTCATAAATAGTGATAACCCTTTACCCACTGTTACTGGTAATGAGACACCCTATATCTGACCAAGAATTGTCCGAGAAGCTGACCCGCGTCCTTCACGAAGTACTCCAACTCAGGCACAGGCGAGTGCACCGACAGAGGTACCTGGAGGGATTCGCTGGTTAAAAAAAACAGACTGATTGAGGCTTCCACTGCCCACTGTATGCCTCAACACTCACTACAGTATCATGCACATGATCTACCCAAAAAATTGTTGTGACATCCCGCATGTCACTGTAGCAAGGCTTTACATGGTTTGACTTGCCCCGCTTCACCGGCACGCAACAAAAATGGCGCGGCATGACACCACCAGTCGTTTGCCTCCTTCACCGGCAGACCGGGCTGGGCGGCACATGTTTCTCGAAGCCGCCGTGTGAAAATTCCAGCGGTCTATGCTTGGGTCCGGGTTGCTGTTCCACCCAGGATTCCAAGAATTCCAAGAAACTTAATGAGAAAAGCTCATGTCGAAAATGACAGGCCGAAAGGGCCTTTAGGCCAAAAATTCAAAGGGAAATCGTGTCATCATGTCAGAAGTGCCGAAGTGGCTTCTGCTCAGGGCATGACCAAGTCATTTCCCTCTTCTACGGAAACCTTCAGCCGTGAGCTCCACACCGCCCTGTGGCTGCTTTCTAGCCTCGCCTCTTGCCACTAATCGCAATGGCCTCGGCCTTAATAGATCTAATAGCGATTGCCTCCAACCTAATAGCGGCCTCGAACCTAAGGGCGATGGCCTCCATCCTCCCCTCTTCTGCCTTACACCCAACTTTCTTCTTCTTCTCACAATATCACTGTTCAATGATCATTCAGTACATCACATACGCTTCACACAGCGCTGCTTCACCAATTCGGTCCCCAACATGATACTGCATGATGCCTTCAAAAAGCCAGCAAAAACAGCAACAATCCCAATATATCCTGCATTCTCCCAGCAAAACCTTTGACTTTCCCAGCAGCAAACCAGCTCTTTTTGACTCTGGTGGAAAGGTTTGTCAGGGACTTTTGCGAGCGCCATTACATTCCCTATTATCCTCTCATGGATGGCTTCCAACACACATTTCCATCTTTTGGTCCACCCACTTCATCCACTATATAATGATGCAATACCACATCTTTCGCACACCTTTCGCGTGGTTTTCGCAATTTTTGGCTGGTGTTCCATGTTGTCCCACTTCTTTCCCACTATTTTCTCTGCCTTTTCCCACTTCTTTCATTCCCGAACATTATCCAACTTTCTGGGATAGCCCTCTGGGCTACAACAAAAAATGCTAAATGGTTTGTGAAAGCTCATTTCAAACCAAGGTCGTTGATATCCAAACATCTCCCATCAAGCTTCCAGTCCAATCCCACAGTGATTCACATGGAAAACTGAGGTACATAAAATGGTGTTTTTCAGTGTTGAAGAAGCACCTTTCGAAGCAACAAATTGATGTACTATAGCAAGAGTCTCACTGCAAAACAAGTCCCGTGACCCTTTCGAGTCACGTCGCCTTCCCTCTCTCTGGGACATCTTTCCCCTCAAAACTAAAACTAGACCTCCGTTTCGTCGGCCCCGAGACTCTCTCTTCTTCTTCCTCTTCTTCCTCTTCTTCCTCTTCTTCTTCTTCTTCTAATTATGAGACTCTCTCTTTCTCTACCCGACGAAATTAAAAGCATGTCCTGCTCTACATTGAATTTCGTGATGTATCTACATGTATATATATATAGATATATGTCCGAACAGACTCTGTGCATTCCGCTGACACAATTTGATACGAGTACCATTTCAGACGTGCCTCTCAGGAAGTGGTCAGCCACACTGGCTGCCTTCATCCAGCTGCGAGGTGTCCCAGCTGCGGTAGCCACCTGTGGTGCGACAAACCAAGAGAGGAGGATCAATGAACATCAGCAATTGTATTTTTTAAAATATACCTGGACCTTCCAACTACCCAAAAAATCAGGTCGTTTTGGCTTTTATGGTCGGTTTGGTCGTTGGAAGATCCAGGTATGTTTCCGAATGGATCACTGATGTGAGTTGGTTTGCGGCGTCTTCGGACCGCAACACCAGCTCCTAGGACCGAAACCTGTCGACATGACCCAAAACCAGGTGGGCCACGGGTCTTGCTGGCTCACGTAGGCTATGTGGTCCCTGATAGGTGTTGACGTGAGCAAAGGCCAGGTGCCATTTGACCATCATGTGCGGCTTGCATCAAGCTTAGCCGTCTACGAAGAACAACCCGCGCTAGGAGAATTTGCTGTGCAGTTTTCATATACGGGGTCTCAGTTCTCTTGGAGGTGTTGAAAGCTGTCCAAAAGCACCTTGGTAGAGAGATGATTGCAACACCAGCCCAGTCTCAGACCCCCACACAGCAAGGTAGAATCAAAAGGAACATGGTTTTCCAAGGACATGGTGTCAAATTTCCAACAAGGTGGTTCGATGATCATATATATATATATAAGTTCTCACCGAGAAAGGTTTTGTCAATGTTTGAAAAGCTGGTAAGCTGATGAAGCGTGCACAAAGGTATATGCGAAGGGGCAAAGTCATAGCAGTTTCAAAGCAAGACCATTATAGTAGCTGACACAGCTAAAAAGTAGCAGACCGCCCAACCGGGCCCGCTTTTCCGCCACGAAAACAAATATGAAAAGCGCACGCTCCCTTTTGGTTGATGCAAAGGCCATATTAGCAGGTATCAAGACCCCCAAGGGGTGGTTAATGGACACCCCTTAACAGCTAAGGGGCAAAAAATAGACACCCCTTGGAGGGGCCATAACAGCTAAGGGATATGATGTCATGCGCTTTTTGGTTCGTTTGTTCCTGACTCGAGTCAGGCCGTCGCCGTCGACCACGTAGGGCCGTCCGCGACCCACGTATGGTATGTTTTGAAGTAAGAAGCCTATATATTGGGTCTATCCTGTGACCAGTAGCAGTGGATGATGCTGTTACAGCTAGTAGGACGGACCCAAGCTATACAGCTATCTGACTCCAGTCTGGGAAGAATCTGACTCCAGTCTGACTTCGTGCCCTCTCAATAAGAGACTACTGGGAGATAGACATGAAGCCCGTCCGCAAAACCCATCTTCACAATTTCAGTGCTCATTCGGGCCATGACCTGGTCGGCCTTACTAGACCTGAAAATTGTGAACTGGAACTGACCAGGGAGCAGAAACAAAACTGAAAGTATGAGTCGGTGGTTTCAATCATCCCAAGATATCCCAAGTATGTAAAGGTTGAAAATGAGAATCTCTGAAACCCACCACCTGAGGGACCTAGATCAAAAGAACGACCATGGAAGTGAACTGACCGAAAACCACTGAGGCCATGGGGTGGGACTTGATCACGCATCACCGCTGATCTGGGTGCGACATATCGATCTGACACATCGATTGGCACGGACCAGAACTAGACGTTCACCTTCTTGCCACAAAGCTTTTGTCCCCCTGCCTTGCCCTTTCAGATCTGAATTTTAGAGGATATGGTATGGCTGCATGCTCTCTTTCCTTTTGGAAATCCATATAGCGTCATTATCCTGACCTTATATAAGTGTTAGTGGAGATCTGTACAACTTATGTGCCTGACGCATGCTGCAAAAAATCGCCCATTTTCAGCCAGCAGTCTCCTGTACATGACCTTGGCTGCTTGGCCTATTTTTCAAAACCATGAAACTTGCAAAAGGCCACCGTCTGCTTTACATGACGTTGACCTATTTTCTAAGCTTGGAAAAAAGTCCACGTGTGAAGTCTCCTGGCTTGTAACCCCGGGAACCTTCATTGGCTCCCCTTGCCTCCCGACCAGCAGCCAGCACCCCGCTTGTGAAGTCACCCAAACGATATTGTCCTTCAGCATCCCCGCGCGCTGTCTTGCCCTCCGCCACGGCGCTGCTCACCATCTTCTGCACCTTTGTGCCACATTGGCTGACGCCCTGCGACACGCGCCGCGCCGCGGTGCTGCCGGCCGCCATGCCCGCCGACACGCCCACCATGCCCAAGGGTGCCCCAACGGTCCCCCCGAGAGCCGCACCCAGGGTGGAGGACACAGCACTCGTCTGGTATGCATAGGAACAAACGCCCGACACCGAGCCCACTGCCGCCGCTTTGGCAGCGCCACCGGTGTCATCGTAGGTCCCTAGGATGTGGCGGCCTCGCTCGTGAGAGAGACGAAGTAATCCTTTCGTAAAATCACCAAACTGGTAACCATCTTTGCCATCCTTAGAGAAGAGTCTGGCTCTCAGCGCAAAGCAGGAGTTTGAAAAGGGGCACGTTGGCAAACCTGAAGACAAAAACATGCCTGGAAAACCACAAAGAAACGGATGTTTCCCCAAACAACCATTTCCTACGTAAAGGATCTCAATTGACATATTGGAACAACCATTTGCTTCTGTTTTTTTTGGGGTTAACAAGCATCGACATGTTCTTTTGTCCGGCGCGCATTGAAGGCGTTGTTGACACCAGCGGAAACGGACGAAACTACACTAAATGCATCTAAAATCCAACCGTTTCCACAGCCAAGCCACAGTGACATTGGCTCCCAATTCTGGAATCGAATTTCGACCCACAACTTGGTTCGGCGAACCAAAACGGAGAAAACATGTTAACACATTTGGCCCATGTGTCTCTGATCTCCTTCCCCTTGGCCACGGCCGCCCGTGTTGTCATGACTAATCCCTCGGCCAGGGTCCCTGCGGCGGCCCCCGTGGCCATTCCACCGAAGCGTAGCATGGCCAACGAGCAGCCCGCGGAGGAAGCTGCTGCACCGAAAAGGTTCCGACCGCAGACCGAGAGGTTGCAGAACCTGAGGTTGCAGGCAACCTCTCGCGCGCTGACCATTTTTTTGGGCGAGGAGGTTGCGAAGGTTCTGCGAAGGTTCTGCATCCCGGCATGACAAATGAAAAGTGATGGGGTTCGGGAAAGCTGAAGGCTTCCAGAATCTGAATGCAAGGTTGGGAAGATATTAGTGTTTGGTGTTAGTGCTTCAGATCCTTTGGGACATGGTCAACATGAGATTCATCATCTAGACATGATCATGGAGAGACCACCGTGGGTGCCACAAGGTTCAAAACCCAAAGAAGCGATCAAATACAGGGCGAGCCTGCACGTTGGGTTGGAGACAAAGAGGGGTGGGTAGGCCCCAAAAAAGGCCCTTGGCCCTTGATGTATATGATGAGTGTGGTATGCAGCATTCGATCACGAGGACTCCAAATCTGCCTCCTCCCAAAGCACTGGGCTTCGTTCTGGGAGTCCCACCGCTGAATGTAGCCCAAAGACAAGAACACCGACACGGAGCTCGGTCAACCCTCCAAGGCACAGCTTGGGCAGGGCCTCAATCGCCTGCTCGACATAGTGACGGCTCACCTTCTCCCCCAGATCGCCCCAGGAGGTGTGCGGAGAGTGGACACAGCTTTCCTGGCAGAATCCAGACATGGATTTTAACATCTACTCTCAGTCGGCGCTCGACGATCAAGACCTGAAACAACACTCAATTTACTTGACGTTCAAGCCTTTTTGGGGCTGTGCTTATGCTTCCAATCTCTCCAGCATGGAACTCATGGACCCGACAAAAGAAGAAATCGCCGTCTGACATGCGCATGACATGCATCGAAGAAACCACCAGGTCAACACGGTGGGACCTTCAAGGAGAGCGGTTGGGAACTTCAACGCGACGAATTCAGACGCATGGTGTTCTTTGCACAACATATGAAACATGATGACCCTATTTCATTGAAAGGACTTGCCAACCCTACTGACGGTCCGTCAACTTCCTCAAAAGACTCCGCCGCCCTCCATTTCTGGTTTGATCCATTTCACCCACGCCCTCCGCTCAACCGATCTGGCTCCCCTGGGCTCGCCTGGAACTGGAGCTTGGAGTTGGCCAAAACCACCGGCACCTTGGTCGTTTGCTCCAAGGAGATCTGGGTGGCATGCAACTCCAGCGCACTCACCGTGACCTCGGCCAACCCAAAACTCGTGGCACAGTGTGACCAAACACCAGAACCCGGCGTCGGGTGGCCTATGGCAGAACGCACCACCTATGGGGGGGAAGCCCGTGTTGGGCCGTCAGGCCGGTTTTGGGGACGTCGTTGGGACGGTTTTTGGAGGAAGACCAGTTGGGATGTTCATGGGATTTTCTGGCTCATGACTCACTGCTTAGCTATCCCGGCAAGAGACCCCAAACAGTGTGTCTGAGGTCCGAAGGTCTATAAGCAGAAAGTCTAGAGATCAAAATGCATTGGGGTCCAGAGAGGTGATGGTGGTGATGAAGGTGGTGACGGTGTGAGTGAGTGAGTGAGTGAGTGAGTGAGTGAGTGAGTGAGTGAGTGAG